CTGTAGGTACTCAAACCTGCATTCGGAGTACACACCCTGTTTTGAAAGTGCCCTGAGAGGTGCTTTTGGCTGTACCGCGCGCTTAATAAACAACTGTTGATTCTCCTTGCTGACTCCCTGGTGGTCTGTCTCTCAGAATTCCCGCTACATTCTTCCTTTTTTGTTGTCCTCTTCTGTTGTTTTTTTTTACACAGGTTGTTGTAATAGTTCTCTTTTTGTCTCCATGTGAAAGTTGCTGGAACACTGCCTTTACACTTCTGATTCTACACTTTTAACTTTTGCTTGGCCTGCAACATCCCACATTTTGTGATTAGCCCCAGTACCATTGCAGCCATTTTGTGATTACTCTCCTGTGTAGGCTTCCCAAGTCCCCCCGGGGGGCGGGGAAACCCCCGCCCCAGAGGCCCGTTCTTTGCTGCTGCCGGATCGGGCCCCGGGGGAACTCCTCCCTGACATGCGCGTCACCCAGAAGTGACGCGACCATGCCGGGCATGCTGGGGGCGGGGCCACGGCCATCCAAGGGAAAACTCTATGGTTTTCCCTTGGATGGCTGTGGCCCCGCCCCCAGCATGCCTGGCGTCGTCATGTCACTTCTGGGTGACGGGCATGTGGCATGCACGCTTTGTGCGCGCAACTGACGCCAGCCAGGAGCCCCCCGCTCCCAGCGAAAATCAACTTGGCAACCCTACTCCTGTGGGAACAATTTTATATTGGTGCCCATTGCCCCAAGTGCTCAATATCTCTGAAGTGCTCACGGAATGAACACGATTGTGGATCCCTAGGTGAGAGAAGTGTTGAGGCTGTAATCAGCATGGCTGTCACAGTGTATTAAAGAGGTAGGGTTGCCAACTATGGTTTGAGAAATTCCTGGAGATTAGGGGGAAGAATTTGAGGGGACCAGAGTTTGGAGGGTGAAGGGAGTTCAGCAAGGATGTGATACCATAGAGTCCACCCTCCCAAGCTGCTAGTTGTTTTAGTTAAATATTAAAAGCCTGTGAAATTCTAGTCTCTCCAGTAGAAAGACCTTTTAAATAACCCTCTAACACTAACTGAACACGTTTCAAGCCTATTTCCCTACCTCTTGTAATTCTTTCCTTTAAAACTCTCTAGTTCTATCGGAATTTATTTAGTTCTGTTCTATCAAAACATCAAGCAATGATGAAATCCAGAGAAAGAAATCTGGAAGATTGCAAAAGGCGTTTAATCAGCAAATTAGAATACTATGATAAAATCATTAAGAAGCCCTCAGACTACACAACATCCCATGGAAAACATAAAAATCTAGTTATTCTAGCTATGGACATTTCCAGAGAACATGCTCTACATACAGCAAAATTAACTTCAAAAAACCCACTTACTATTTTTGGAACCAAATTTCCATTTCTGGCCTGTTCTTCCCTCATCCTTCAGTTTTGAAAAAAACTTTTTTATTTTCTAGGTTTACAATAGGTCCATAACAGTAATGGGCCCTGAGAGAAGTGGACAGGACCAATTTACTTACACGAATCATTTGTGTCATTTTGAACTGAGAAAAAAAGACATTTCGTTTTATCAGGTAGCAGCAGATTCTTTGCTGTTAATTTGTATAACAATCGTATCTCATTTTCCTCCTTATATAGAACTGAACCCAGAAGATCTTTTACAATATGAACCCAGTTTGGTGTAGTGGTTAAGAGCGATGGAGTCTAATCTGGAGAACTGGATTTGAGTCCCCATTCCTCCACATGAAGCCAGCTGAGTGACCGTGGGTCAGTCACAGTTCTCTCAGAGCTGTTTTCTCAAGAGCAGTTCTCTCAAAGCTCTCTCAGCCGCCCCACCTGTCTCACAGGGTGTCTGTTGTGGATAGAGGAAGGGAAGTTCATTGTAAGCTGCTATGAGACGCTGAGTGAAGGGAGGGGTATCAATTCCCACTCTTCTTTTACTGAATCCACATATAGCAAAAATGACAGCCAGGCCAGAGGTCCCCGACATGGTTTCTGTGGGTGTCATAAAGGTTTCCCTTGCTCGAAAGCTAGCCGAATCTGACTCTAGGGAGCGGTGCTTATTTCTGTTTTCAAGCCGAAGAGCCAGCGCTGTCTGAAGATGTTTCCATGGTCATGTGGCCAGCATGGCTAAATGCTGAGGTACACGGAACGCTGTTACCTTCCCACCAAAGCAGTACCTATTTATCTACTTGCCATTTCTTGCTTTCGAACTGCTAGGTTGGCAGGAGTGGGGTGTCATAGCACCCGCCAAATGTTTTTAGAAAGTGGACAGCAAGGCTGCTGATAGGCTGTGCAGATTTTTTAAAATGTTGCTTTGGTAGCAGCTGCCAGCACAGTACAAGAATCTTAACTGTGACTGAAGATAAACTGCAGGAACCATTTTGTGGTTGCCTCCGCCTCCTGTGGGAACCAGCATGTGGCATCTGAATTCCAAAGGTACCTGCAGGCTCAAAAAGGTTGGGGACCCCAATCCAGTTCATCATCGAGATTTCTTGCATTGTGCATACCATCTTGGAACAGTGGACAGATTAATTTTCTTCCAATTTTGTACCCTTTTAATTTTAGCTGCTATTAATAGCAATAACCTGTCTCCTAAATGAAGGGATGTTTTTGTTTTCTAGAGATCTCAATAATGTTTGAGTTTGAACAGGGACGGGATAAAACCCATGATCTTTCTAATATGTATATTAATGTCTATAAATAATGGATTTTACTACATAACTATACATAGAAAACAGGAACCAATTTGAATGCATTTTCCCCACAGTGTAGAACAGAGTTGTGCAACAGTGGATTCAGCTGCCTAGGGAGGTGGTGAGCTCCCCCTCCCTGGCAGTCTTTATGCAGCAGCTGGACAAACACTTGCCAGAGATGCTCTAGGCTGATCCTGCATTGAGCAGGGGGTTGGACTAGATGGCCTGTATGGCCCCTTCCAGCTCTGTGATTCTACAGTACAGTAAGGTGGTTGAATTTTTACATTTTCAGAAGGAAACCCCCCCCCCCCCCCCCCCCCCTCAAATGCTTCCCCAAATGGTGTTCCTGGGACAGTGAAAGCCCAGAAACAGCGAGGGGGATGAATCGGAGGTCTGCAGCAGGAGCAATGAATTGGTGAAATTTACCCCCTTCTCCAGTAATGGAAATGATTATCAAGCTCCAACCAAACATGCTGTCCAGGTTCAACAATCATGTATTTCTTACAATGTATACTTTTGCTTTACATGATGCAACCAGGACATGTTGCGATAGGGCTAATTCCTCAATCTGGAAAACAGTCTCAATCTTGGGGGCCAGGTTTACATGTCAAGGCTGTAATGTACCCAAGAGACATGTACACGCAGAAACTGCCTCAAACCCAGGGACTTGTTCAGACACTGGAGAGAATGGGAGCCATCTGTTGGTACAAAGCAGGAGCCTTCATTTATTTTAAAGAACTTGAGCCAACACAGGCATTAATGTAATACAATATTACGCAGACAGATTACTCGTAAAATTTAGCATTTTATGAGTGATCATACTATTTTTCATCACATTTTTGCCCACAATGTCACTCCAGACACATAAGGGGCAGCGGGGGGGAGATGACTGATGCAGTTCTTCCACTGAGTCAATACTCAACCTTCTAGTAGAAGGATCTCTCAATTGGAGGTAAGCAATAGCCAGGCACTGCAAGTGCGAGGGAGACAGGAAGCAGGGTGTACTGTGACTAGAATGCAGCCTCAAGTCAGAGAAGGCATTTTGGAGCCACTACAGAGATCCTGAAAGCACAACTATCTTGACTCTGACACGACTAGGATACCACCTTATAGTTGTTTTAAAGAAAACTGCAGGTTTCACTTGGTCAACAAAGACAGCTGATGTCTTTAAAATATCATTATGAAGGATTTATGTTGTAAGAAAACATGGTTATAATTTTGCAAAATGCTTATAGTTTTGTATCATGTTTGCCCTGGCAACGGCTCTGTAAATTAAGTTTCTTTTCATCCCAGTTCCCCAACACAAAACTAAGGCTGAGAAGCTGTGATAGAGCTGAGTCTTGCGCCTTGCTCTTAGTTCACCTGTCAGTCCCGTGAACCACACTAGCTTTCAAGAAAGTAGTATACTGGTTTGTTTTATATAACTGTGCAAGCTTAGCATTAAATTTTGTCTTTACTGCTGTTATTAATTTTCATCGATTGAGGGGAACTACTAACACAATGTTGTTAGATGGAGGGATTGCGAGAATTTCCTGAGAACTAGTTTCAGCTGGCATTAGCAATCCTGCTTTCCACTTCAAGGGGTCTGACATCACCTTCTCAAACCAGCAGTAATATATCTTCTTTTCTGTGTGCAGGTTCGTTCTCTTACCTTGCATGTTTTCAAGGCAGCCCAGTGAATACAGTCACCTTAACCACTGGTATTCTCACTTATTTTCTGGGGCCATGGCAACAACGTTTGCACAAATAGCTTGACCCTATGCAAGTTTACTCTGCAGAAGTTTCTATAGGATCCAACAGGACTTAGTTTTGTTAGCAAATGTTTTCTGGATTACAGTGTAAATAAAAAGCCTCAGTATTGGGTGTCTAACTATTAAGCCAACAGAAAAATCCGTGCCTGCAAATTTACAGTCTTAACCCCCCCATCCCATAAGGAAGAGAAGAGAAGAGAAGAGAAGAGAAGAGAAGAGAAGAGAAGAGAAGAGAAGAGAAGAGAAGAGAAGAGAAGAGAAGGAGCAGATCCCAGAGATTACAATATTGGATAAAAACAGACATTTTCAGATACAGATGAAACACTTGCAAAGAGGGAACAGTAGAGACGTGGGTAGGCAAAGATCTTTAGACAAAGAGGAGAAAGAAAATGGATGGAGGTCTGAAAGACAAAACTTGATCCAAAGTGACCACAATACCACGAAGTGACCACAAACAGAAATATGGATATTTGCAGGTAGCATTTCACTTTTTTAAAAAAAACAAAAACACTTGACTTCAGAAAGAAGAAAAATACAATTATAAATTATAAACATTTTAATTATACTCCACTAAAATGTTTTATTCAGAATATTCACACAAATGCACAAGACACTAATAAAGTACGAAAAGAGAAGCTGCCCTCTTTGGACTATTTGCAATATCGATCCGCTTTCAATTTTGCTCTCCTGTAATAGAAAAGGAAAAAGAAAGGATTAAAATTATTTGTGAGTCTGCCCCTTTGTAAATACTAACCAAGAAGATTTAGCATTTTGGTTCACTTGGCACAGAGCCTTTAAAAGCAAGAGGTTGTACTCCATTATTCTGATTTTAGGTAAACTCAACTGCAATCACCAGACTTCGAACGGAGTCACTCTGTTGCCGCTTGCACAGCTAAAGGCAGAAAGTTTTCTCTCTAGCCTTAAAAGGAGCTTTGTTAACTGTCACAGAACATTTATCAATATGGACCTTTGGAATGTTTATAGAAGCAACTCCTATTCTAGTATATTTCTCTTTAAAGGAAAAAAATCTGTCCTTAGTAGCTGCAACAGTCTGAGGCATCCAACAAACAACAATAGACTTATCTTTAAAAAGCTGGAAATGGAAAGGGTAGCTGCTTAAAATTTGCTAGTATTTATGATAGAACATTGGGTAGACCAGGGGCAGGTTTACACTTGTTCACTCCCTACTTAGCAACTGCAGCATACAAAACAGCCATATTCCAAACACGACAAAAGCATCTTTCCTATCACTCTATTGTCACCACTAAAGCATAACACTTTAAGGGAGGCAGTTTAATCAAGTTTAGAAAACAGCTCCTGGATGGACTCATTTGGGAGTCCAGGAGGCAGTGGCTTGAATGTGCCCTCATAAGAGAAAAGTCACTACATATGGCAAAGCCAGGGAGAAGGCTAGGTTTATGTCACCCCTTCCAGCACATATTTCTCTCATGAAGGGAGGAAATTTTTTTGGGTACAAAGGAGAATTCTGTTATATCAAATGGCACAATTCAGAAAGTTTTATAATTTCCATCAGCTACTTGCTTAGACTATGCCTCAGAGAATGCTTCATTGACCACAGAAAAGGTATCCGAATGGAAGACATACCTGTCCAACAGGGCTTCATGAAAAGTGCCTTCTTTCCTTGCTTTTTTGAGAGCTTTACTGTCTTCCTGGCTTACTTTGAGTTTGCGGTCTTGAAAACTCTGAAATTTCTTCCTAGAAAAGAAATCACAAACCATTAATGTCTTCAGTCTGAATGAAACGTAATGAACTTTATTAGCTTACATCAAGGATCTACAGTTTCATTTATGAACTGTATTGATATAGATGAACTATACAGTATGCCAGCCTTATATCTGAAGAGTTTATACTCTTCAGTAAAAGCATAACAAAGCCCTTAAAACCAAGCCCACTGAATGATCAATGTGCACTAGAAGTATATACATTTATTAAACAAATGGCCTCTAGAATTGAAAGCTAATATTTTCGTTCTATGCTCCAAGACAGCTTGCAAAAGTTTTTGTTCTTTAGTTTTACTGAAGGACAAGAAATCCTCTTCTTACGTACACATAGTTGATTTCACACTGCTTAACGTTTCCTTTGTCTTCTTCAGGAATGTCATCTTTTTGTTTGGCTTCTCTTTCAGCACATGTTCTGATCTAAATACAAAACAAAGGGGAGGGGGATGTGGCTTACTTAAAAGTTGATGCCGAAAAGTCAAATACAAAACTTCTTGACTCTCTCAGGAAGCTTTACAAGTTTTGTTTTGTGGTTTTGAAGAAAACAATGATACAAACAAACATGCAGTAAACAAAACTATTGTAATTTCCTTTTATAATACAGCCAGGTGAAGTCTCTCTCTAGCAAACTGTCCATTACTATGACTCGTGACATACTAGGAACACTCATGGAGGAGGGGGAACAAATGCAAAATACAATGTGTAAATGTGGTTTGGCTAGAACCCTCTTCCCTGAGATCCAGTTATCTATGTGTCAGGATTGTGTACATGGAGAACCATCCAGTCATGCAAGTTCCCACCTGCAGACTGAAGTGATGCAGCTTTCCCTTCAACTACTTTGAAAGGAATTAGCGGAAATAAGTGATTTTAAAAAGTCACAGAGAGTCTCCACTGCTCCCTTCAAAAGATCCAGGTCTGATTTGCATACCAGTTAAAACAGAAGCCGTAGTCCATTTGATGAGACCACGGATTGTAGTATAAAGGAAGTCTTTTGCTTCCTACAGATGTGGAAGGCATTTCATATGGATGTATGCTACACTTTTGTCATTTTGTTATGAAAAGCACACAGACATTTAAACTGCTACACATACAGACCATTCAGATTACCTTAATAATTTCTTCATCCCCCGCAGTTTTACTTTTGGCCTCTATATCACCTTCTTCATTACATCTGATAAAGCAGCTGTTAGCTGCTAACAGAGCAATTTTCCCCTGGGGGAAAAAAAACACCCACCAAGCCAAATTAGTAATTTCCTACAAAATATGGTTAACTGTACTGAAACAAAATGGCAAGAAAATTTCAAAACCTAATAATTTCAGTTTAAAACATTCAGTAATGCATATTGATTTTAAACCCACAATTAGCAGTGGACGATTGCATTTTCAAATGGTTTTCAGAATTCACCTCTAGCATCTGCAGATTAATATAATCTGTACATATAATGTACTGGAATTTGCTCCCAAGGAAATAAAACTATGCTTGTGCCTTGGACTAGAACAGCTACTTCTGAAAGCCATACAGTGCATGTCAGACCACTGTCACACTGGCTTTTGTGGTATACTAGTTGATTTTAACTGTTAACTGGTAATTAGAAGTAATGTTTTCAATGTACTCACAATATCTATGCATGAATTCAGAAAATTTGCTCAGAGGGAATGAACGAATGAGAGCTCTCAACTAAGTTCTGTCCAACTGTGATAAAGTAAACTTTAAAAAGGAATAATTTCTCCCCATACCACTTTCTTTTTTTGTTCTATACAGAGAAATCCCAGAATACAAAAAATAAAATAAAAATAGCTCTATTCAAGTTCTTTCAGAAATAAACAAGTATAACACCAAACCAGTGCATTATCTGCTAGGATCAACTGCTATTTTAAGGCACTTGCCTCCTGAAAAACTGGTTCCCACTGCTCCCTTGAACCAATTGCGTCAGAACGTCCAATAACTAGTCCATCTGAATTGATACCAAGATATTTGCCATAGCCTGATTTCAGTGCAATTCTGAAAGAAAGAAAGAAAGAAAGAAAGAAAGAAAGAAAGAAAGAAAGAAAGAAAGAAAGAAAGAAAGAAAGAAAGCGCAACAGCATTAACAACTATCACTTCATTATTAATATTCTGTGTTATGGGAAACACTGGGATTCCTTCATAGTTCATCAGAGATGATGGTGGACAGGCTTCCTTAAACCAACTTGCCTACCACTATTGATCTTTTCCTGCAAACAGGCAGCTGCAGGGGAACACTTGTTACATTTTTGTGCACTGGTATACTCCAGGTCACACCAGAAAACAGTGAAGCCCAACAGGTTTGGGCAACGTTCCACATGAACTGACAAGTACAATGTATTCCAGAAGCTTCTGCAATACACTAGGCATCCATGGCAGACATGTAGAAGTTCCTCAGCGATCAAGTTGAAGTGGAAAAAGTACCTTGAAGGTACAAAATTTTAAACCCACTGACGTAGGTTAAGGTAGAAAATTGCAGTGTCCTCCCAATACTATCTTCCCCACTGTCTTTCTCCATTTAATGGATGCTGTGTGAGTCTAAAAGACTACACTAACAATAAAAACCTAGACAGCGTGATAATTTTTTTAAAAAGTATTAAGAAACAAGGTCGGAGGACTGCAATCAAGTCTGTATTAACACAAGGGATGATCCTAGAAATTCAGGAAGCATGAGCTGGAAATCAATAGATTTGGCTTCTTTCTTACACGATTCTACATTGCAATCTTTGCTTGTGCTTGATTCTGCCATAAGGTCCTGAAACATTTTTTTTTTAACTTCTAAATTATGAAAAACGGCATTTTTGGGAATGCAAGAAAAGGGGTGTGTGTGTGTCTGCACAACCCCAAGCAAACACAGAGAAGTGGTATTTGGCCCAGAACCCAGCTTCCCAAGACTCAACTTTTTCAGGCAACGTTTATTTATTTATTTAGATTTATATCCCACCTTGCCTGACAAGCGGGCTCAAGGCGGCATACAGTAATTAAAAGTACAATAAAACAGATAAAATTCCACAATAACATATAAAGTGTAGATTGGTACAACAAATACGGATGGCGGTTGTTGTAAGCTGGTCCAGTATGACTAGTTCTAGTTCTTATGCTTACAAAGATATGGTTTTAAGTGTAATGGCAATGTCTATTGAAATATCAGAATATGGGATTGTTGAATAAGGTTTCAGTGGCAGGATGAAGAGCTGTAGCATTATGTATAGCTTCAGAATAGCTTATACAATATAACGCCCCCCCAGAAAGATAGAGAACTTTTGCATGGTTTACTAACAGTGTTTTGGATTACTTGACACAGAACATTAATATTTTTATTCTCAAATACATTCTTTATCTGCATGCACACTGCACCATATCAGATAAATTCTAGCTGGGTATCACCTATGATGTAGGCATGTATCTTATAGCAGTACATCAAAGGGGCTGAATATTATTTCTCATATATGATAGAAAGTAGACTATTAATGCCTCAGGAAAATATCTGGTTTAAAGTTCAGGAGAGTAATTACCTTGTGTCTGACAGCTTGACAGCAGTAAATTGCTCAGGAGGGCTAGGACCGTCATCTGAAAGTAATAAAAAGAGACACACTATTCTAGTTAATACTGGAAAATCCCATTAATTATGACTGATGCACAACACTCAAAGAATGTACCCTTTATTTTCCCTAGTGCATATTCCAGCAGGGTAGCTGTGTCAGTCTAGTATTCCAAAACAAAAAAGAAGTCCAGTGGCACTATATGGGCTAACAACACTTATTCCAGTATGAACTTTTATGAGCGAGAGCTCACTTCACAGAAGCTCATACTGGAATAAATGTTGCCAGTCCTTAAGGTGTTACTGGTGCATCTCATCTGTAGAATTCTCATCCCCATATATTTTTGCTTGCTACCATCTTTCTTATCTAAGCACCAGGGGAAATTTGATCCAGTCTCCTGAGTTCTTGCTAGTTATACTTATTTGTTTTGTATTATTTATTTTGTTGGTTGAAAAAAGGGGTTGTTTATTAATGTCAATATGGATTACTGCACTTGCAGTAATCCATATTAAGTCATACTTGACTCCTTGTGTTTTGCTTTAGTGATTTTACTAACTGAGTTTTACTGCTGACCTGTTTTGTGGATTTTATTGCTTTTGCAAGTCATCCTGAAGAACAGGTTTGGTGGAAGGCAGGACAATTTTTCTAAAACAAATTAATATATCATTGATATAAATAATAAGTCCCTTGTATAGTACTGACTAACACAAATTTGATACCTAGCTACTGCAATACAAGATGCAAAGAGCTAGTGTGGATTTGGACTAGGATCTGGGAGACCCGGGTTGGAATCCCCCACTCTGCCATGGAAGCTTGCTGGGTGACCCTGGGCCAGTCACACACTCTTAGCCTGATGTACCTCACAGGACTGTTGTGAGGATACGATGGAAGAGAGGGGAACAATGTAAGCCACTTTTGGTCTCCACTGGGGAGAAAGGGTCTAAATTAAGTAAATAAATAGTTACAGAGTCACAAAGATCATACAGATACATTACCATAAAGTTGACATTTATATAACTTGATCATCAAATATACCAATAACATATATATTATTGCACAGAAAAGTCTTAAAAATACTTACCAAGAAGTAAGCCCCATTCAATAAAATGGGACTTATTTCTGAACAGAACTGATCCCTTAGTTTTTTCATGCTACTAATGTGCTACAAATAACTAATACTGTGGTCCTACAGATGACAAATAGTGCAAACCTAAGCAGAATGTGTGTTTGTGTATGTATATATGCATATGTTTATAATTTGTGTTTCATTCTTTGACTGTTTTCTGCCTTGAAGACCCTGAGCTGGGAGAAGGGGTGGCAAAAATATTTAAACAAAATGAACACCCATCTAAGGGCTGCGGTGGCTCAGAGGTTAAGATGCTGAGCTGCAGACTAGAAGGTCTGTAGTGCGGCAGCTCAAGACCCTAGTGCCGCGTGACGGAATGAGCTCCCGTCTCTGGCCCCAGCTCCTGCCAACTTAGCAGTTCGAAAGCAAGAAATTGCAAGTAGATAAATAGGCACTGCTTTGGAGGGAAGGTAACAGCATTCCATGTGCCTTGGTGTTTAGTCATGCTGGCCACATTGGAAACATCTTCAGACATCGCCGGTTCTTTGGCTTGGAAACAGAGATGAGCACCACCCCCTAGAATCGGATTGGACTAGCTTTCGAGCAAGGGGAATCTTTACTTTTACCTTTACGGCCACTGAAGTCAGTAGGCTTAGACAGATGTATCCCTGGTTAAGATTGCACTGATAGATGTCTGAGGGTGGGCTAACAGACACACATGTGGTCTTATAGCTTTTTGACATCTGCAAGGTTGGATTATATTACACCAGAGCACTACAGAACCTCCTAAAAATGAGGCTTACTTCTGCCATACCTTACAAAGAAAAGCTTTCCCTCCAGCTCTGCTCATACCAACCTTTATGAGGTGCTCCAAGTGTAAAAAGGCCATTGTCAAGAGCGCTGATATATGTTCCTTGTCCCATCTCTATTGCTACAGTTCCTGTGATTTCGCCAAAATTTGTTACCTTCCACCAGCCTTCTAACAGGAGAACACAAAAAACAAAACAGGAACTCATTTGCTGCCTGTTTCAAAGTATACCAATTTACAGTGATCCAGCTGCTCGTTGAGAAAGTTTCCGGGATACTAAACACTCAAAACAACGTAATCTTATAACACTTTTTGTAAAAGAAAAAAAGCTAGCACAATACAAAATGACCAAAATAAGCATAAACTGTAGAAAACATCATTTTATAATTTTTAGTTACGGTATGATAATTCCTACTATGACAAAAAGCTAAAGCAGTGGTAACTTATTTGAAAGTAACATGAGCATTTATACTTTGGACATAAATGTGTCAATGTTCTGGGGAATGTGTACACACAGTTTCTGTAAGGGATGGGGAACTGCAACTCATATGCAAATCATATGCAGCTGGTAGCTTTGTGGGGCTGGCTGAGAACTCAAATGAGTTCTTGGGAGATGAGGAAGCTAAAAGGATATGGTGCTTCAAGGAAAACGACAGGCTGAGAAACTGGAAAGTGAAGGAAGCTTGAGGGAAAGGAGATAAAGGAAATGAGACAAGGAGAGACTGTGGCTCAGTGTCAGAGCATCTGCTTGACTTGCAGAAGGTTCCAGACTGACACCCCAGACTCTCTAGTTAAATAGATCAGGAAGTGGGTGAGATGGAAGACTTCTACCAGAGACTCTGGAGAGCTGCTACCACTGAGTAGACAATCATGACCGTAATAGACCAATGGTCTGACTCAACGTATGGCAGCTTCTTGTGCTCACAAGCTGTTTTGAAACCAAACAGATAAGCATATCTGCCATGTTGCCAGTGCCCTGTTGTTGTTGGATTTCTAAAAGATCATAATTTTAATCTTCTTTATCTAACATCCAAATTCTATAACTTGCTAGATGAGTACAGATGTACCTAAGAAGGACCACCACACCACAGCAAAGTGACAAGAGATATCATGCTAACATAATAGGAAGCTGTACATCCCCTCAAAAATTGTAATTTTGTTCCACTGGAAAACTGAGAACACTTTACTTAGTAGCTAGAAAAGGTCTCCACCTCTCACTCCAAGGAGCCTCACTTCCATGGAAAAGTCAACTTACCAACCATATCAAGCTGATCTTCTGCATTTTCTTCTCTTTTCCTTTTTTTGTCTTTGTTTTTCTTCTTACTACAAGAAGAGCCCCCAGAAAATGTTAACATAATACAATACCCAGTCTCTGCCTTAATTACATCAAGGCAATACCCAGTCTCTGCCTTAATAACATTCTTAAAGCACACTGGACAGCCTCAAAGAAGAAAGGCATGACCAAGGCAAATTCTTGCCAGTAAGGCACATTCATTTGAGTTTCTTAACCCAGAGTGTGTATTCCCAAACTTTTTATCTATGAGACTTAAGTTTCTTATGATAACTTATGATAATATATTTTGGCAGTAATTTTCTCAAACTGCTCCTGAGTTTGTACATGAAAGAGACAGTATAAGTCATTAAATGGGAATTCTCATCCCCCCCATCAGTGTTCATTTTGGAGCAGCAATCACATATGTGTAAATCCCCAAATGATGAAGCATTTTATACACAAAGAGGAGACACAGAGAATGAGTAGTAAGCATAAAGATTGCTTAGACACAGAAGACAAAGGGAGAGATTACCAGATCCATGAAGGAAGGCTACATGGGTTAAGATAAACTAGAATCTCACACTCCCAAAAGCTCAAAGTGAAATAGTTTGTTTGAAATATTACCTATATAGAAATTAGAAGAATGCAGAGAAACCACCAAGGCCTACCTGTGAGAAATATCTAAGATAAATAACGACTGCAAAGAAGTAACATAGTACCACATTACGCAGGCTTACACTGAGTCTTTTTTTTAAACTTTCTACTCCGGATCAGGTAGCGAGTTTCACATCAACTATTATCTGATCCTTTTTGTTCGAGTTACGGGATTGAACCTCAACCTGGGTCCTTTCTTCGTTCTGCACGCAAAGCAGATCAGTCACGGCCCCTTACCTGCAGGGCACACATTACAGGGAAGCCCACCATCTTCGCAGAAGATGCGTCTGTCGGGCCACTATGGAAAACAGAACGTGGGACGCCAGGAACTTTTAGCAAGCTCCAGTTCTTGTGCTCTTAAGAGAAAACTAGCTTCTTACAAACGATTCCCTAATCCCCTAGGTTGCCCCCCGCCCCCAATATGTGGACCACCAGTGAGGAAAAGGCACTGTGTGCAAGTTCAGAGACACTCAGTTAGGAAGATGTCGGTAGACCCGGTGCTGAAAACACGCTCGAAGCCCCACCGGAAGCGGACAGAGGCTAGTTTCCCCTAACAACAGAAAAATCCAAACAGGAACAAAATCCTTACTTCTTCAACTTCGTTCCCTTCAGAACCAACTTGGTCGATTTCACAAAAGAGTATTCCGCCATTTCTGTACACGTACCACGGAAATGGCGCAACAGCCCACCATACGCACTAGACCTGCGACTGCACCACGGTAGCTCCTAAAGGACAAACTATCTTGCCTTGTCCGTCAAATGACTGAGCATGCGCAGTGTCGAAAATGAAGCTTGTGCTTCTGTGGGCTGAGTTTCTGATGTCGGTAGAGGATACTGAACCCTTGTAGTCTGTGCTGCGCGTTCCTGTTTTGTGTGAAAGTGGCTGACGGTGCGCGCGTTTGTTGTTTACACTCGATGCATTAATACTGGAATTTGGCAGTTAGATCTATGCGTTTGATACGATGCTACCGTGAGAACGGGATTTTGCAGTTTTTGCTGACACGTGAGGTACAATTAGGAAGTACTAGTAAGGTAACAAGGAAACAAAGTTGGAGTCCAGTGGCACCTGTAAGACTAACAAAGTTTTATTCAAGGTATAAGCTTTCGTGTGCATGCACACTTCTTCAGATTAGTGAAATAAGACGGCCTCACGCATTATATAGAGGTGTGTGTGTAGTTGCCCGGAAGGGCTAGGTAGCTGAGATGGGATTAAAGATGAGCATACAAATACAAGGTAGGTTAAGCAGAGAGAGAGAGAGTGACTGGTGCAGTCACCCAGCAAGTTTCGAGGAGGGGGGCATAACAAATGCGGCCGGATTTTAGTACAGAAGTCCTGCATAAATCATCTTCTGGGCATGGAACAGAGGTCACTGGGGGTGTGGGGGGGAAGGCATTGGTGAATTTCCTGCATTTTGCAAGGGGTCGTACTAGATGACCCTGGAGGTCCCTTTCAACTCTGTGAATCTATGATTCTGTGATAAATGTGAGTTATCTGCTGTTTTCTGGTCAAAAGCAATGTGGCTGGGAACCCTTAAAATGAATGTTCACACCCAAGGAGGTTTTCCAGTTTCCACAATAAAGATTATTTATTACTTTAAGATATTGGTATGTTTCCTCTTCAGAGGCCTGCTCAAGGCAGTTTACAATTAAAGTATTGTAACACTATAAAACAAGCCATTGTACTTAAAACAATAAAAATTATCTGTAAAACAGAAGCAGACCATTTTAAAAAGCAGCTATGATAAAACCTCTAATCAAAGGACTGGGTAAAAAGATGTGTTTTGGTCTGGCACCTAAAAGACAGTAAAGTAAGCACCAGGTAAGCCTGAAGGGGGAGGACGTACCACAGGTAGAGATGTAAAATTTCCGGAAATTTTGAAGCTTGGAAAAAAATGCATTTTCCCCCCGCAAAAAAATGGGAATTTTTGGAAAAATTGAAAAAAAATGCTACATTAGCACTTCTTTTTTCTTTTCCAGATTGAAAGTCATTCTGTTACTTTAGGAACATAAAATATAACTATGGACATTTTTACTTGGCATGAAATTATCACAACTAGCATATTAAAAATATAGTGTATCCAAACAATTATTACAAACAGAATACCCACCCACATGCAAAAACCAAACTGAAACCTTTTTATTTTCTTCTGACAATAGCACCTCCTAAAGGAAGAAATGCATCTTGTTCTTGCATTGGAGAGTTCCGTTTGTAACCTAGAACTTGCTTGTCCTCAGTGCACAGAAATTAGATCAATCTGATACCATACATATTTTTTAGAAATGATTTGGAAAATATTTGAACACTTTGTCTTAAAATATTTTATCCATCGTGTTTAAATAAGATGTTCCATAATCAATTTTTCTTTTCTTTTTTCAATTTTTCCAATTTTTCGGGAAAAAACAAGGCTTCAGGAAAAAAACGGGGAAAAAACCGTCCGTCCCCCCTGATTTCCCCCGGTTTTTTCCCGGGCCTTCACATCTCTAACCACAGGTGAGGTGCCACCGTAGAAGATGCCCTGTCTCTAGTTGTCACCTCCCTCAGCTCTGTAGGTGGGGGCACAGAGAGAAGGGCTTGAGAGACAGATCACTTCTCAATAACATACAGACAATAACATACAGACAGTTAAAAGCAGTAACCAAACAGTAAAACAATTAAAATTCTGAAATAGTTAAAAGGTCAGTAGCAGCAAGAAATTATATTAACAGGCCATACAGGGGATAAGAGGGAAAGGAGGAGGGAGAAGTCTGACCCTTGCCAATGAGGTTAAAAAAAAGAATGTTTTTACTTGGTGCTGAAAACATAGACTCAGTGCTAGGTGGCGTTCCATAGCCGTTGTGCTGTTCTATGCCTTGTTTTTATGACATTATTATTATTAATGGTAATTCTTGTATTGTTTTTATAATTTCATTGTATCTTTCCTCTGTGAGTGAACTCAAGCAGGACTCTGAAGTAGCATGTGTATTTTCTTTTTCTTGTAAAATCAATATAAATACTTCATTTATGAACTAAACATAGTTGACTCTGTTTACATTTTTAACTCAATATTTCTAATTATACTGCTGTGTCTCTGTGGTGTTTTGCTATGACAATATTTTACATGTATTCTGTGGGTTTTTATATATGCATTGCTGTGGCTTAAAAGGGAGGCCTCTAGAGTAAGAAAATGGGGGCTGGGTGATAGAAGTGTGTGATGATTAGATGGTAGCTATACCCTAGGTGGTGGAGTTGACTGGTTTGTAGAGAGGGTTTGTGGGGAGAGAGATGAAGAAGAAAGTTGAGTGGGTAAAGTGCTGTGAAGGGTATCTATGTTCTTTGTGGAAGTTAGTAGCCTACGTGGCATGTGAGAAAATTAGCTTTTGCGGCTAGGTCTAATGAACTTTAGAGAAAGAAGAACTCTACCTATCTGAAACCATTACGCTTGTTAACCATACAGAAACTGTTATGCTGTTTCACTACTAAATAACTATTTATTTTTAAGAGAAAGGATCCTCTTTTATCTCAGAGCCACCCCCATGTACTGACCTTTCTGTCATTCTACCCAATATAATTAAGTGTAGGTCCAACTAAGGGTTCTAAGGCAATAGCCTTTGGTGGCAGCGAAAATAAATAGGAAACGCTAAGGAAGTAAAGGAAGCAACATAACACATGCCACTTCAGAACCTTGCAGAGAAGTGCCTCTGTGTATAAGGGGTCTCAGAACACAGGGGGGGAAAACATTACAGTCTCCTATTTGCCTCATTATGGGGTGTGACAGCTGTTTATAACAGCTATTGCTGACTGGATACCCACTACGGTGATATTTTAAAACTGTGTCTCACCATCCTATTTGTAGCTTTGTATATGTAGCACCTTTTAAATGTTTTATGGTTTTAATCTGTTTTAACTTGTAATGTAAGATGCCCTGAGCCTGCCTCGACCGGGAGGGCTGGGTATAAATCTAATAAAATAAATAAATAAATAAATAAATAAAGTTCTGAGACCATACTTACCAACTTACCGTAGTTCAGATCTAGTTTAGAATTAATTTTTTGCTGTTTCCACAGGATAATTTTGGTTCCAAAAGTTGAGAAAAAGGAGTCCAACTTTGATTATATATTGTCTGTGCATTAAATTTATCTTATCCATCTGATTTTAACATAATGATTTTGTCCATTAACGTGATGTTCCATGTATTATGTAGCCAGTTTTCAGTACTGGGCAATTACATTTGTTTCCAATGTTTAGCTTGAGGGATTCTTGCAGCCACCAACATTTGCTAGATTAAGTAACATTCACATTTGAGTAGAACATTTTCATTAAAGCCCAGCAAAATGTTAAAGGCGACATAGATGCTTCTACCCCCATAATCCGGCAGATTCTTTCCTCCACCCATCTCCAATGTCATGTACATTTTCTTTAAAAAAAAAGGAAGGAGAAAAAATAATCCAAGGTAAAACAACAAAGAAGAAGAAGAGTTGGAGTTACACCCCACCCTTCACTCAAAGTGTCTTACAATCTCCTTCCCTTCTTCTCCCACAACAGACATTCTGTGAGGTAGGTGGGACTGAGAGAGTGATTTCAAGGACTGCTCTTGAGAGAACAGCTCTGAGAGAACCGTGACTGATCTAGGGTCACTCAGCTGGCTGCGTCTGGAAGAGTGGGGAATCAAACCCAGTTCTCCAGATTGGAGTCCGCTGCTCTTAACCACTACACCAAACTGGCTTTTCTTCAGGTCAACTAGCAGGTAGGTTTCTTGATGCATGAAGCAACACTGGACTTTCCAGCTCCTTTTGAAGGAAAGCAAACATACCCTGGTATAGAACTGGACAATCTGGTTCTTCCACCTGAACTAATTTTGTCCCCAGCATTATTTGATTCCTTGTATCCCAGCCTTCCCCTAAGGCATTAATGGCCAACATTTTATCCTCACAACAACCTGTCAGTGGGCTAGGCTGAGAAAGAATGACCAGCTGAAGGTCACCCCACTGAGTTTCATGGCAGCAGGGATTTGAATCAGGGTGTTCCCACCCCTAGGCCAGCACTCTAACTACTATACCACACTGAGCACATTTTGAGTCCAGTGGCACCTTTAAGACCAATGATTTTATTCAAGGTATAAGCTTTCGTGTGCAAGCACAGACTGCTTTCACACAAAAGCTTATATCTGGAATAAAATTTTGTTGGTCTTAAAGGTGCCATTGGACTCAAGCTTTGTTCTCCTGCTTCAGACCCACCTGAACACTATACCACACTGTATGTTATACCACACTGTATGTTAAAAAGTAGAGACATCACCCTGCCAACAAAAGTCCGCATGGTCAAAGCAATGGTATTCCCAGTAGTCATGTATGGCTGCGAGAGTTGGACTATAAGGAAGGCCGAGCGCCGAAGAATAGATTCTTTTGAACTATGGTGCTGGAGAAGACTCTTGAGAGTCCCTTGGACTGCAAGAAGATCAAATCAGTCAATCCTAAAAGAAATCAACCCTGACTGTTCCCTGGAAGGCCAGATAATGAAACTGAAGCTCAAATACTTTGGCCACCAAATGAGACGGGAGCACTCACTGGAGAAGACCCTGATGCTGGGAAAGATTGAAGGTCAAAGAAGACGGGGATGGCAAAGGATGAGATGGTTAGACAGTGTCATCAATGCAATGAACATGAAGTTGAGCAAACTTTAGAGGACAGCGGAAG